GGTTCAAGCGATTCTCCTGCCTCATCCTCCTGAGCAGCTGGGACTGCAGGCACCTGCCACCACACCGGCGAATTTTTGTATTTTCAGTACAGTCAGGGTTTCACTATATTGGCTGGGCTGGTCTCGAACTCCTGACCTCAAGTGATCCACCTGCCTCAGCCTCTCCAAGTGCTGGGATTACAGGTGTGAGCCACCACGCTCAGCCCCATTCCTCTTCTAGATGAGGCTTTTGCAAGACCACATGGAGAAAGATCACATAATGCCTCACGGGCCACTGTAAGGCCTTGGCTTTTACTTTTGAGGGAAATAGAAAGCCATTGGTGGGTTCTGAGCAGAAGAGAAACCTAGTCTGACTTAGGTGTGGAGGTGGCACTTTAATCGCAGTATGTAGAATAGACTGTAATAGAGCCAAGGTGAAAGCTGAGAGAACAATTTGGTATCTATGGCAGCAATCCTGCAAGACACCAGGGTGATTTGGGTCTGGAGGGTAGTATGGGAGGTGATGGTAGGTCTGGATTCTGGTTGTATTTTGAAGACTGAGCCCAAATGCTATCCTAATAGGTTAAATGTAGAATGTCAGAGGAAGAAAGCAGTCAAGAATGATCGAGGTTTTTGGCCTGAGCAGCTAGAATAGAGTTGTTGTCAACAGAGATAGGGAAGGGTGTTGGAGCAGCCAGTCTGAGGGGTAGAAGAAAGGTCCAGTTTGGGACATGCTAAGGTTGAGGTCGCTATTAGGCATCCAAGTAGAGATGGCAAGCGGGCAGTTGCATTTCAGGTCTGGCTTCAGGAGGGAGGTCTGATCTGGTGATGAAAGTTGCCTTTGTGCCCCTTAATATTTGAAATATTCATTTCTTTTTTTCTTTTCTTTTTTTTCTTTTGTTTTTTTTTTTGTTGTTGTTGTTGTTGTTGTTTTTGAGACGGAGTCTCCCACTGTTGCCCAGGCTGGAGCACAGTAGTGTGATCTTGGTTCACTGCAACCTCCACCTCCCAGGTTGAAGCGATTCTCCTACCTCAGCCTCCCGAGTAGCTGGGATTACAGGCACAAGCCACCACGCTTGGCTAATTTTTGTATTTTTAGTAGAGACAGGGTTTCACCATGTTGGCCAGGCTGATCTTGAACTCATGACCTCAAGTGATCCACCCACCTTGGCCTCCCAATGTGCTGGGATTACAGGCGTGAGCCCCCATGCCCCACCAATATTTGTAATATTCATTTCTTAATTGACTTCACACTAGTGTTTAGTTATCCGGAGGGGGTCATATCACTATATGTCAGTGTAAAAAAATGAATAACTACATACACACCCACACACACACACACACACACACACACACACACACACACACCCCGTAGTAAGAAAGTAAGCAGTTGTCATAGTTCCTATAGTTCCTTTCTCTTTGATCATGTCATTCAAATTGTCTAAAATAATGGTAAAGATTTAATCCTGCTTACTATATATAGTTGCCCTCTGACTTAGCAATTAAAAATCTCCACAAGTGAATCCCTTCTTCCCTCTCTGGGATTTTCACTTTCTTCCCCCCATACTACCCTTTGATGGTAAATTCTCCATTTTCCAAGTGCAGTTGGAGGGTACCATGGGGAGGAAATCAAATTTCAAATTAAAAACTAAAGCACACTCTGTGCACATTCAGTCATTGTAATTCTGGAAAATGTCCTTTGAGTGAAAAACATTTAGCAATAGGAGAAACTCTACAGTATGGTGGTTTAGAGAGTAAGTTCTAACTTTGAGATGAATTTAAATTCTAGCACATCACCTTAAGTGAGTATCTAATCACTCAAGTCCCAGTTTCTCGGTCTTTAAAATTGAGACCTGCTGGGGTTAGGGAGAGTATTAAATGAGATAATACATGTAATGCACTTCACACAATGTCAGACACATAGTAAGTTCTCATAATTGTCAGCAAGATGATAATGATGCTAAGTGACTTTACTTTTTATTTTCAGTTGGAGCTGAGGCTAAAGATTTTTCTAAGGCTTTACATTTACCATGGACTTTTCACTAAGTATATACCTCAATATAGCACTGAAAATTTAGAAAAGTGATTCTCAAGGCATTGGGCCAAAGGAGACAAAAAGACATTAGGAGCAGAAATAAGAGTATGATCCAACCTGTAACTGGTGGCTCCATTTCCCTCCTGACTCCTCCCCTCCCCCAGTACCCTGCCCATATTGGATAATTAACACACTGAATTTACTCAAAAGGAAAAAATACTAAACTTACCTCTTCCTGCTTACGTTTCTTTAATTGTGTATATTTTGGTTTTTTTCAAGTATGGTTCTTTGGGGAAAACAGAATATGTTTTCTATAGAAAAACACATATTCTTTCAGCCTAGTAATTCTGGAAGCAAAAGATGGTCTCCATGGTAAGAAGATGGAAAATGAGTAGTATTAATAGAAGATAGCACAGAACTAATGTACATTTTATAGTATAAAGGAAAGATGTTTTAGCCTCCCTGCCTAAAACAACATCGTGAACTCTAAGTTCTGCTAAATTGGTGAATAAAATGAAAAGGAGCCAGTCAGGGGATGATAGCTCAGAATGAAAGTCAATAGTCAACTCCCAGAAATCTCACAGGAAAGGCGACACCTCCCGTACCCATGGTACATGGAGGTTTAACTGGTTCTCCTGCGGTTTGTAAGGAAAGCTTTGACTGGGTGCGGTGGCTCACAACTGTAATCCCAGGACTTTGGGAGGCCAAGACAGGTGGATCACCTGAGGTCAGGAGTTCGAGACCAGCCTGGCCAACATGGCAAAACCCTGTCTTTACTAAAAATACAAAAATTAACCAGGAGTGGTGGCACATGCCTGTAGTCCCAGCTACATGGGAGGCTGAAGCAGGAGAATCACTTGGACCTGGGAGGTGGAGGTTGCAGTGAGCCGAGATCATGCCACTACACTCCAGCCTGGGTGACAGAGGGAGACTCTGCCTCAAAAAAAAAAAAAAAAAAAAAAAGCCTTGAAAATTCTTCTGACCCCTTAGAAGTAGATTCATAGACACATAATAGTGCTTTCTTTTTCTTTTTCTTTATCTTTTCTTTCTTTCTTTTTTTTTTTTTTTTTTGTATTTTTAGTAGAGATGGGTTTTCACCATGTTGGCCAGGCTGGTCTCAAACTCCTGACCTCAAGTGATTCATCCACTTTGGCCTCTCAGAGTGCTAGGATTACAGGCGTGAGCCACCATGCCCAGCCAGATATTAGTGCTTTTTTTTTTTGAGATGGAGTCTTGCTCTGTCACCCAGGCTGGAATGCAGTGGCACAATCTCAGCTCACTGCAACCTCCACCTCCTGGTTTCAAGCGATTCTCATGCCTCAGCCTCCCGGGTGGCTGGGATTACAGGTGCCTGCCACCACCCCCAGTTAATTTTTGTTTTGTTTTTGTTTTTTGAGATGGAGTCTCACTCTGTTGCCCAGGCTGGATTGCAATGGTATAATCTCAGCTCACTGCAACCTCTGTCTCCTGGGTTCAAGCAGTTCTCCTGCCTCAGCCTCCCAAGTAGCTGGGATTACAGGCACCCACCACTATGCCTGGCTAATTTTTAGTATTTTTAGTAGAGACGAGGTTTTGCCATGTTGGCCAAGCTGGTCGTCTTGAACTCCTGACCTCAGGTGATCCACCCACCTCGGCCCCCAAAATGCTGGGATTACAGGTGTGAGCCACCACACCCGGCCATTTTTGTCTTTTTAGTAGAGATGTGGTTTTACCATGTTGGCTAGACTTGTCTGGAACACCTGACCTCAAGTGATTCACCCACCTTGGCCTCACAAAGTGCTGGGATTGAGCCACCACGCCCTGCCACAAAATAGTGCTTTCATCCTCACGTCGTGGAGTTGCCAAAGTAATAGAAATATCAGCATGAATTAAAAGCCAATAAGACAATGACTGTCTAATGTTCTCAACTCATCTCAAGACCAATATCGGATCCCAAACGATCCCTTATAAATCTCTAGGTCCTTCATTCCTTTCATGCAGTGTCTAATGGGGTATATTTTTCCTTCATTCCCTTCATGCAGTGTCTTCCTTCCCTTCATGAAATGTCTAATGGGGTATATTTTTCTTTCACCTTTTTTTGCATATTGTTCTTCTGCTAGGATGTTTTTATTCCTTCTTAGCTCTCTGTGTGATTGGATCTCTACAATGGTATTTTGGGGTTACCTTAGTGCATCTCTTTTTACTTGTTATAATGTAAATTTCTTGAGATAATCTACTCTTGCTCTGTACTCTACTCTTCTCTGTAGCCTGTACTTGTCTTACATTTCTCTCCTTTCCCATTCATTTACATAATCTTACATCCTAAAATAGTTATATTCTTTATATGATAGCTATTGAAATGAGAAGATACCCATAAAATTTATCATAAAATAATAAATTTTATTTAAAAAATAAGCACTCCAGAACATAAATATCTGTATGAGTATTGTGCCTTAAAGAAGTTGTTGGAACGGCATTCTTTAAAGGCTTTAGAATTAATTTTAGAACCACTTTACAATCTTCACGAGAAAATCACCCTGCTACCACAAGGCAAAGCCTCATGTGTTACCCAGATTAGCATTACTCACCTAATTCGCCAGACCTGAGGCCAGATTTCCTTTGATAGTTTTCACAGTTCATAGCAGTCCTTAGAGGATGAAAATTTACTCCATTAAGGATTCTCAAAATAGTGTGGGGGCGTATTCTGAACACAGTTCTGAGGGAGAATTCCAAACTTGCTTTGGAATAATGGAAGCATCATTAAACTAAGTCTGTAGTACCCAAGTGCTTTAGAGGGGAAAACCCCCGTTTAGATGAGTAAGTTCTGTTATTTCTGGTAACAAATTGAACTTACTATTTTATACTCACATCATTAAGAGCCATTTCAGAAGTTTCTGTTACTTGAGTTCAACTATGTTCTTGTACATAGTGTGCTTAAAACTTCTAGTATGTACATGTGGAAAATGGGCTCTTCATAATAACAATATATCTGTTGTATTGTTTCTAGGACTATACTTGATAAGAAGGAGCTCTTGGAGTTTGCTCAACTTGGCTGCTACTTGGAATATGACCTCTTCGGTACTGAACTACTTCATTACCAACTCTGCCCAGATATTGACATGCCTGATGATAACAAAAGAATTAGAAGGTAAATATGGTAAAGTCTCTCATAGCATTCCCTTTCCCTAGTCCTTTTTGATTGTCATATCTAGGGAAGTATTAGCAAAGATTCAGAAAACAGTAAGCAGGCTGAACCACAGACTTGCAGAGAAAAATATATCTATGCTGTTTCAGGGAGAAAATCTCTCTATATTATTTTAAGGAGAAAATGAGTCATCCTAAGTAGGCTAAAGCTTAGCAGAGCCTTAGAAGTTCAGTGCAGATGGGCAGCTGACAGGAAACACAGATAATACCCAACCCCTGCCATGAAAATCAGAGAACAAAAGACATTTTCCTCTTTTTACCTCTAATGAAATAAGCTGTTCCTCTCTCAGGTTGACTACACTAAAGCCATAACTTCCTACCAGTAATATTTGAAATGCTTTATTAAAAGTTGTCATTAAAAAGGTGATTTCAAGTTAAATGCTAAAAGTGTAAGGTCTAAAGACTAAACATCATGTAAAATGAATGCAACCTTCCAAAATTGTATAATGTGTGATGCTAGCAGATAATTGTAGGAGTCATTCTTTGTAATCAAGTAGAAAATTTTTGGTGTCAACAATAGCTACCTAGTTTGGTCTTGGTCACATGGTGATGTGAAGGTTGAATGAACCAAGTTAGAAAATCTAGGAGGAGAAATAAATTGGAGATTGACAAGGAAGACTTTCGTTTGGGAATATCTAAGTGTTGCTATCCAGTGAAGCCCTAAGATATGGTTTGTATGTGATAGTTGAACTGTGGGAATGAATGACATCACTCAGAGAAGAAGATAAGGACAGAGATCTGGGGACAGAGACATTTAAGGAATGGAGTAGGAACCGTCACTCAAGGAAAGGTTGAGTAGAAGTTTTCAAAGTGATAGCATGAGAGATATATGTTGTTATGGAAGTCAGCAGAGAGGAAGGCTCAGGGCAGAGGGGCTTGGATACCGGTAACAAGTGACAAATATCAAGGGAAATAAAGACTGAAAAGCATCCATTGGATTTCACAATGAGGAGGCTGACATTTTATAAACAGTAAGTGCAGTCTCAGTGGAAAAGGCTTGAGGAATGAGTGGGCCGTGAGGAAGAGGAGAGAGGATGCTGAGGTGACTCAAGAAGTGTGGCAGTGGAGGGAAGCAAGGAGTTGAGGCTGGAGTTAGAACACAACAAAGGATCAAGGGAAGTTTCTAGTAAGAGTTGAGAAATGATTATGTGACTAAGAGCAAGAGCAGAGAGAGGGCCAGAGAGAATGAGTCCAGGGAAGTGGTGCCCATTCCACAGGGTTACTATAGAATTGACATGAAATAATATATTCCAAGTTTTTATCTGAGTGTCTGGTACAGAATACGGAAGTGTTCAATAGATGTTGATTTTTAGAAACTCTGGATAGATAAGAAATATAGAGCAAGGTTCCTAAGGCGACAAATAGATGGAATCTGGGGAACAAATAGAATGTTGGTTGAAAGGATGCTTTCTCCATTGAAATGAGAGGGCGTGACACAGCAGTGGGGTGAATGCAAATAAAAGTCTCAGTGAGGGAAACAGGAGACTGAGGACACATGTCCTTTAGTGTCTCTGTGAGGTGGACATGGTTATCTCCTGAGAAAAAAAGAGTGGATTTAGGGCAGGACCATGTAGAGCAGGAGGAAGGCTAGGAATGGCTGTCGGGTCAATGAGAGAGACCTTGACATGGGTGTGTTATGTGCGGGACATAGTTGAGTCTAGAAATCATGATTGCATGCCTGTGCATTGGCACCAATGCACATGATTTGGTGATTATTTTCCAAAAGCAAAAATGTTTTGCGTTTTGGTAGTGGAACCAGAGAAGTTGTGTGCCTACAAGCAGAAAATAGGAATAATTCAAGAGATTGAGGGCCGGGTGCAGTGGCTCAAGCCTGTAATCCCAGCACTTTGGGAGGCCGAGACGGGCGGATCACGAGGTCAGGAGATCGAGACCATCCTGGCTAACATGGTGAAACCCCGTCTCTACTAAAAAAAATTCAAAAAACTAGCCGGGCGAGGTGGCGGGCGCCTGTAGTCCCAGCTACTCGGGAGGCTGAGGCAGGAGAATGGCGTAAACCCGGGAGGCGGAACTTGCAGTGAGCTGAGATCCGGCCACTGCACTCCAGCCTGGGCGACAGAGCGAGACTCCATCTCAAAAAAAAAAAAAAAGAGATTGAGGGTTGGGATTCTGTCTGAAAGAGATGGATAACAAAGGAGGGGTTGAGATGAGGGTCATGGGATCCAAGCTGGAGGGAAGAAAGCGTAGAGAGGCATGGGCAGATAGACAGGAAAGCATAGCAGGGCAAATAACTGGACTGCAGGCTTTAATGAAGTAGGTGGAGCATATATATGCTCAAATATATTATTATATATATACACACACACACACATACAGTAGAAGAAATGAGTGGAAAAAGTAGAAAGAGGTAACATGATCAGAGTAGGAAACTGAAGATTGAGATATTCAGACAAGAACTAGAATATAATCATGAGAACAGAAAAGTGATTGCAATGGAAGTAGCAAAGCTGGAATTGAGAAGTTATGTCCAGGAACCATGAGATTCAAGTGTCGATAGTTGAATAAGGCACACTGGGTTGAGAGGAAGATCTTGACCCCGTGGTCATAGTTGGGACATCCTGAGGATCTTTCCCTGGGAAGTCGACATTTATGTCCTTATGCCTTTTGCTGTCTCCATATTCTGGCATTCTGCCTTGATCACCTCATTAATGGCACTGTGCTTCAAGTTTAGTATCATCAGGGAAAGCTAGTTAATCAATGTTGCTCTAGTTAGGTAAGATGGCAACACCCAACTCTACATGAGCAAATGACTTCACCTGCCTTGACCAATGAAGCTCTGTCTTTTCTTTTAATACTCAGATCAGTTATTTGACAAGTAGATGTACTGATTCTTTGTTTTTGTTTTATTATTTTAATTTACTTGCCAAGGAACCCGATTCAATACAGGTGAACCTGTTTCCCTAAAGCCCTAGTAGTTAGTTTATACTCAGAGGAGACTATTCCTTCCCTAAAGGCATCTGGAATTTAAAATAGGGCAGTGCATTCAGTCATTCTCATCTTTCATAATCTCAGAAACATGATTTTCTGATCAATGCCCTCAACGCATGTTCTATTTCTTCTTTTTTTTTTTTTTTTTTTTTCTTTTTTTGAGACTGAGTCTGACTCGATCGCCCAGGTTGGAGTGCAGTAGCCGGATCTCAGCTCACTGCAAGCTCTGCCTCCTGGGTTCCCGCCATTCTCCTTCCTCAGTCTCCTGAGTAGCTGGGACTACAGGCGCCCGCCACCACGCCCGGCGAATTTTTTGTATTTTCAGTAGAAATGGGGTTTCACCGTGTGAGCCAGGATGGTCTCGATCTCCTGACCTTGTGATCTGGCCGCCTCAGCCTCCCAAAGTCCTGGGATTACAGGCGTGAGCCACTGCGCCTGGCCTCAAGACATATTTTCTAAATCATCTTGGAAATGGGAACTTTGCACTCCGGATTGGCTTCCTTTTCCCAAGCCCCTTTGTGGTAGTAAGGTGCATATTTTGCACACCTGTGTCTTATATGAGGCTCCCAGACCTTCTAAACAAGAAAAAGATCTGTAAAGGGGCATATATGAAGGAGATAGGAGGGTCAGATGACCAATGGCTCCCCCAGCATTCCTTCTTAGCTCCTTTTGGCCATTTGTTTATCCTTTACTGTGCTAAATATAGCCATTCTGGATGTATGGAAATGATAAAAATTATTATAATATCAATGTGTGTATATGTATATAATGCATGTGTGCTATTCCATACATATGTATATGTATGTGTGCTTAATCTTCCTTAAATTAAACCATGCATTATCACTCGACCCAAGGACAGCCCATGTTAAGCACTGAATGCCCTTTTGGGTTGCAAGTGCTCCAGTACCCCACTGTCTTGCACACTTGGTTTTCATCGTGCATCGTCAGTCCTTTTCTGAGCCATTGTAGTCTTAAACCTCTGAAGTGCATGAACACAGAAGCACGCTTCTGCCTACCTCTGGTGTTCAGCACCAGAAATTCTGCGTCTAACACCTGTTTTCAATCTTCTGCTCCATTTCTCAAATCTTATTATATCTCTGCCTTTTCACACTTTGTCGTCTCTCTCTAATATTTGTTTGCAAACACTAACTCATTTGTATTTCTATAATTACCGTGAGTTTTTGTCTTCTCGTCTGCAGTGGCTCCCCCTTTTCTGGCAGCATCTCTGTAATCCCTGTTCTTCCATAAAATGGCACAATAGGAGAGATGATCTTTCAGTGTAAGCGGGACGGGGCAGGTTTTCTGGATGGTCAGGATATCACTGTGTGTCCAGAGCCATAACGTTATCTTTCTCCTGAGATAAGTAGTCTCCAGATTCTTGACTTGACGGGCTCTAAGGATTCCCGGTCTGAAGTAGGAGTATGTTGTCCTCTGTGCTCTTTCATTCGACTTTACTATTTGGTAACATCAAGGTCTGACACAAGACATCTTAGAGGAATTTCTCTATCCACACAATCTGCCTTTGTAGTATGAGAAGTTCTATTTCTCAGATAAGAAACGTAGGCAAAAATGTTGGAAAATGCCCAGAAAATATCAGGGAGAAAGTGTTTCCTGAAACCTCCTATACCCGTGATACTTCTTTGCAGTTGTGGATCAAGGTTTGTCACACTAAGGTTCAGCATTGTGTATGCATTCTGTCAAATCTTTCTCTTTGTTTTTTTTTTTTTTATGTGATCATATAACTTACCTTAGATAATTCCCCTAAACTGAGTGTGTTCCAAAAGTAACTGCAGATCAGAACTTTAGGATATTATACACATTTCAATGAGGCAAAAAATTGTAGTGGCACAAAAGTCGTTCCATGTGCTTACAGGACAGGCATGGCTCTTCTCTGCTGGTGCTTGCATTCCTTTGGCCTGCAGATACAAAGTCTATTCTTCCATTATCACTTATTTTAAAATATATGTTCTCGGAGGGCAGGGCTTTGTGCCTGAGTTTTTGTGCGTGTGTAGTGCCCCACGTTTTGCTCACTGTAGTAATTAAATATGACTCATGTAGTAGGGCACCAAGAAATGCTTTTGAAACAAAAAAGATACCTTTCAAATAATCAGCCTCTGGGGGAAGGCACTGTCCATCCGTCTAGATCCACTTTAGAACCTAAACGCTGAAAAAACTATTCAGAGAATCCCAGAGAAGAGCCATTGTCTGCGAGTGGCATCTTCTACCATCAAAGACCCATGGAAGTCACGACAGACACTGCCCAGAGTCCAGACACGTACAGATGGTAGCTGTCAGGAGGTGACTCACACTACAGATTCCAGCATTTCACACAGCAAAGAGGATTTCATTTTTAGAGAATAGTCAGGGAGCTGTTCTTTAGTCCACTGACTACAAATTTAAAGGAATAGCTTATTATTTTAGCAATCTTGCTGACATGGAAAGAAGACGGAATACATTTGTATTGGTCAGTTGAATCCAGTCCTCAGAGACCACAACTAAATCAAAATTGCCATAGACTTCAAAGGGACAAATGGTTAAAATACTGACCAACCTTTTTTCAGTGACTTTGTAGCTTACCAAATGCCCCTCACTTGCAGATCCACTGATTTTGCTCTCAGAATATATTACTTGTAGTGAGATTCCTTTTGTTTCTCTATTTTAATCACAAATAGTCCTTGATATTGATTTGCTAGATAAAAGGAGAGAGCAAGAATGAGATCTGAAAAATGGGCCCACAGAGAGAGGCATTTGAGAGAGGACTGCTGAATACAAATCCAGAACAAAGTTATTTAGCGAAATGCCAAAGTGGTCATTCATCCAAACTGGCACGTCCTATTAGAAGCTATCTTTAATGCGGTATCGCCAGGCGTTGTCATAAATATCACGGGTTAGAAATTTCTGTGTGCATGGAATAAGGATATGTTCCTGCTAGGATGCAGCAATATTTTTATCATCACCACACAATATTTATTAAAGTTCTCTCAGTACACACGCCACAGTAGAAGGCAGTATCTTTACGATAAGCACAATAGGTTAATGAGTAAAAAGTCAAAAGCACCCTGAAAAGTGAAAATGAAAGACAAATGACATCTAATGAGTTAACGTTTTTCACAGGGTGCGTCTCCTGGTGGAGGAGGGTTATGAAGATCGAATTCTGGTAGCACATGACATACATACGAAAACCCGGCTGATGAAATATGGAGGTCACGGCTATTCTCATATACTCACCAACGTTGTTCCTAAAATGTTACTGAGAGGTATAACTGAGAATGTGCTCGATAAGATTCTAATAGAGAACCCTAAGCAATGGCTAACTTTCAAATAGGATGGTTGCTTATGAATTCGCACCTTGCGTGTAAAACTGGCGGAGAACATTCAGCGATTTCCAGTCCACTGAGAGCTATTAATCAGTTACCTAGGACTAATGAGGGATCATTTCCTTCTGACGAGAAGTAGGAGGGTTTGCCTTCTCTGAGACCAGCTATTACACCTGTGCCTCTAGGGAGTTACTCAGCCTAATTGAGCCCTATTATTTTGCCTTAACAAAATAAATACAGAAGTACGTATTTCTAAACAATGATTTAAAGTCTATATCCCCTAAGCTGAGCTGTTGTTTTTCTCCCTAATCTACCAGCTGCACTACTTCAGAAAATGTAAAGTGTTTCTAGTTGAATTATTCCCTTCTTGAGCGATCTAATGTTTCTTGTAATATTGATGATCCTACTAATTATCCTGCTGTTCTTTAATTAATGCTTAATGAATAATATGGCACTTTAAAATAGCTTCTTCAACAAGGGAAGTTACATTTTGAGACTTTTTCCCCAAAGGATACTGACTGTAATACGATTACCAATTCACAATGATAAAAATATTTTGAAAGGTTAATTTTATGCTGTCCACCTATCTATATATTCTTCTAATAAAATGGTTTTGATATCTTTGGCTTTCTGGTATCTATTTTTGCCGTAAATTTTGCTGTTTTGCAACCTTTGTGTAAGAACACATAACACTACTGAATTATAAAAATTCAATCATAAAAGTCAAAATATATTACATAATATAGTTTAATGAATCATTACATTTATAATAACAAAGGCCACAATTTAATTAACTGATAAGATATAATGCAAAAAAAAGGAGAAATGTTTGCCTTATATATATTCCCTTTATTTCCTTTACCTTGTGTTTTTCCTTGGACCTAAACAGAGAAAATAATGCTTATTTATCTGAAGAAAAGGTCAGATCTATTGGAAATGACAGCCTGATACTAGAGCCTCCTCTTTAAAAGGTATCCAGCCGTGATATTTTGTGTAAATAAAGCATTTTTAAAAACTCTTAGTTAAAACACTTAGGTGATGGCCACTGCTGCTTATAAATTCATCTTTTGGTTGAATCTTCACTATGCTATTTGGCACCTAAAAATATTCTCCAAACCCTTGCTGCCAATTCCTCTTTGATAAATATATAGTTAATTCGAAATAAAATCCATTGTGATTCATTTATGAGTTATCTTACATATCACAAAGGCCAATTAGAATTTGTCCTTATTCTTGATGAAAAGTTTGTTTTTAATCATAAAAATCGTGACAGTTACTCAGACGCAGGCATTTCAGCAGAGCTACCACCACCTTCAGATAGGCACACCATGCATAACTCTTGGGAAGTTGAGCTTTACTAAATAAAAGATATTTTGGCTGATCAGAGATGTTCAAGCTTTCTGTGTATTGGAACAGAAAGTAACAAAGAGGAATGAGCCAGGAGAACAAATTAATTCCTTTATATAAAAAAAAATGCAAGTGTCCTTCACCAGTAAAGGAAGCAAATTTTTAAAATTTCTGTTTTTGAAATCTACTTGTCAAAGAGTTTTCAAAGGCAATGAAAGGGGAACAGATTTTTCATTGTAATAGTGGAAGTTGTGTGATAGTTAGGAGATATCAACATGCATTTTTAATCTTTTCCTTAGATGAAAGAGATGGCTTTTGGCAGTGTGTTCTAACCAGCAAGAAAAGATTTGTATTACTCTCCAAATCTACTGTACTGTCAGCTTCAGTCCACCTGAGAAAAAAGAAAAAAAATTGATAGCTCAAATGCATATAATTCATAAACACTGCAAAGGAGAGCCACTTGGTATCTGCAGTCCTCATATCAATAATCTGTCACAGAATGCAGTTAAAGTATTGATTGGCATATGGTAATACAACAACCATAGCCTTAACTTACAGACCTGTAAAATAAAGGGCATTTTTACCTAATACAATTAATTTTCTAGATAACTCTTAAAGAGAAGTTGTTTTAACTCTTTTTGCTACTCCATATATTGTCATTCAAAATATATTTTAACCCAAAATAAGTTAAATAATTTATGCATGTTTGTGTGTTTATATATGCATATACTTTTTTATATTAAAATTTTGAGGCTATACAGCCACTGTGACCTATGGAATAAAGCCATATATATATGTTTTATATGTATATGTTTTATATGTATATAAAACATTTCATCTAACATATATATGTGTGTGTGAGTATATGTGTGTGTGTTTAGCAGATATTTGTATAAAATATAAACACTATTGTCATATTGGTTATATGTGAAATTGTTAATTTTGAAATAACCTCAGGCCACAGACTTGTAGTAACCATTTGAAGGCCTCACCTAGTGTCCCCTTGGTGACATCTGCAGCAGCTCAAATTAAACCTTTGTGCATTGGGTTGTGAATAATCTTTTGTTCCAAAGATGGCAAAAGCCTCGGCTTGATTTGATACTAAAGAATAAATTTCTCTGACTTTCCCAGTGAATCTAAATGTATTCAGTTGACAAAATGGACACATAAGGGCTTTTTCTAAATACCGCACATAATTACACATTTTCACACTTAGAGGGTAATCCTATGATACACTGTCAATCTCTATTTTTAAAGACTATCACCAGAAAAGAGAGAAAAGAAAATTCATATAAGAAAAAGAAAATGTGAAAATGATCATAGGCTTGGGAATTCCCTCAAATCCAGAAAATTCCAGGTTAAGGCTTGAAGTAGAATCATTCCCAGGTCTAGCTCTAAAGTTAACAAGAGTACAAGGCAAACAATTTCTTTGGGGACAAGCAGCATTATTTCAATTAGACCTTCTCCTGCAGGGTAAAAATCATTCTTCCCCACGCTATGAATGGACTCCAAGTATCATAATAAGCAGGTAAACTCACAAGAACCAAAGCCGACATATGGATAAAAGCAGCAAGATCACAGTACACCAAAGTATCATATATATTGAAGAAATAATTCAATGTCTTAGATTTGTCTATAAAAATTTGTGATCTATATAGGACTTCATTCACATGGACACTAACGATAAGGAGTATTTGCTTTGGCGGTAGTGGATCACACATCTGCTTATCTTGCTTTGATATTTTTTACATGATGTTTCTGAGTAATACAGATGTGAGTCAGGTAGCATTTGATTTCCCCACATATACACAACCGAGGTGCCCTGCCATTGGCATCCCCTGGGATCCTTGATTCACTGACGTTAGCCATACGCATCCAGTGTTCAAACTCAGAATGATAAGCTTAGTCTCTGCATTATCAGTCAGCGTAAATAATAAATCCAGAAAACGTGCTGTATTTGTTGTTGTTCCCTCCATGGGCTTTCCCGCCATCTAATTTGATATAGACTTCGTCTCCCGGCTCCAAATGAAGAACCACACTGTTACTGGCATAGTCGTAATTCTGATCAGCATCCTGGGCAATTGCGCTAGCACGCACCTATGTGAAACAGACAAGAATTAGGATGCGTAAATGAGAATTCTCAAGTTTTCTTTTTGCCATTCATGCAGCATCACAAGCTGACTTGCTGCCCTAGCACAGAATTTAGCGTAGGAAAGTCCATGTTGACCTCAGAGCTTTATGAGAATAGTGCTGTGGCAGTTTCAGCTACATTGGTGAGAAGGAGGACAGAAAGGGACAAAATAGTGCTTCAGTGGGGACGATTCTGGCAGTCTTCTCTAACTCCACATTCTAAACTATGCGTACAATTTATCATCTTCCTGTATCACTTGTTTTTCTAACTCCTTCAATCCCTATGCCCAATCACATTTTGAAATGAAACTAATAGTATTTTTTTTTGCGTTTTAGTTTAAGCCAAATAGCAATATTCTAATCAGCTGTTGATGAGTACAGAAGTTCAAGTCTAAGTTCAGCTGTTCACCACAATTATTAGAAAACTGAGGTATGTAATAGCTAAAAATACCCAGGAAAATACCAACTCCTCTACTACTTACAAAGAAAAAAAAGAAAAAGTCTTGATTTAGGGCTTTCCAAATCTAATTCATGTAAAGCCCCCTTTACCAGGCTGCTTCAGAAGCTCTTTTATACGTCTTTGATTATATCACCCAAGTTTTCAGAGCTCCTTTTTCCATCGTGTCTTTTTATTACTTAACTATGACATGTGCATTTAAATCAACAATTTAACCTCAACATATCTAAAACTTAAATAAGGGACTAAATTTTCATGTTCTGAGGCCTCTCACGTTTCAAGAATTTTTGAATGATTTCATTGAATATCCACTTACACTTAGGAGATTCTAAATATGTGGCTTGATTTGAGGACAGAGGCTGCTTATAATCTGCCCATGGTAAGCCTGTGATCTCATTAGTGAGTTGATAGACATTTACAAACAGTCAAATTGCTTATCTCATGCATTGTGGACATTCTGTCAGATCCTTAGCTCAAATTAGGCTTCATGTTCATTTAGATATATTTTGATTCTGCCTTGGAAAATCTTTCAACAGGCAGACTTAGATTTGATTTATTTCAGTAAAGCAACTACTTTGTGGCTTGTTTCATTTCTATTCCACTATAATGATATTTCCCTGAATAACATAGCAAGTGATTTAGTGGTTTTGTAAACCTGCACTATGTAGTAATGCATGATTTGGGGTACAATATGCTGGATTTTATCACTTGGAAAAATGAGAGAAATGAGACAGAAGTTCAGAATTTCCAAAATTTAAATGATGGGTTTTCCAATTAAATTTTCATGTGATATGTTCTCACATTAATGCTGAAACATTAAAAAAAGGAGAAGGCTCTTTAACACTGCTGAACCTGTAAAGTCATTTGAGTAGTATCTTTAAAATGTCTTTCTGGGTATCATATAGCAAAAGGAGAAAATGACCTAAAGGATTTAGAATTGCTTAGCACTGTACTAACAGGCACTAATATAATGAAAGCAATATACCATGTAATTATGCTTGGAAGCCTTGACTCCAAAGTATATGCCAGTTTAGTAAAGTGGTCCATTTTGACCATTAAATAATAATGCAGTTTGACATCATAATATTTTCTAAAAATTAATCATGAGTTTGTAGGAGTTGAATGCTTTGATTCATTTATTTCATCTACTCATTAATTCCCAGGGAAACAAATCTACAAGAAGGATATTGGTATTATGACTTGTGTTTTTTCTCATCTGTGGATTTTTAATGGGTGAAAAAATTTAAAAACAAAATATTAATAAGCTATATTAGTAATACATTAGTTATCAACCCATAATATACTCCTCAGCTATTACTAAAAACCAGACACATTTTATTCAGTGCTTTGGGTGTTTAGGACATATTCTATGGTTTTTGGGCTTTAACATGGTTTTCTACATGAAGGAATTGGAGAAACAGGACATACTAAAATTATGTGATTTAGACACGATAATCCTTTTAAAAATATAATGCCATTTTTATTCTCCAGGGTGTTACCACAAAACCAAGTAAACGTCACCATTTTCATTCAGCAGGTGTAACCACAAAAACCTACGAATGCATTAGAGTGATTCCACAGACTGAAAGGTTACCCTCACTGTGTCCACCACCTTTGTTGGATCAAGCCAGTGTGGTTGCTCTTTAATGAAGGTAATTCTCTAAGATTTTAACCTGTACTGTACCGTAAGACTGTCCCAATTAAATAATTGCCATACTCCAGTGTACTTGGCATGATTTTGGTATGCCTGCTCACCTGATCATACTCTAAAGATATAACAGGACTTGAAATTTCAAGCTCTAGTATCCAGCTCAGTGACTTCAACAATTCTTTCAAGCCATCAAACTATTGAGGAAGGTAATGTGTTCACCCTGGAGGCTATTTCCAGATTCCTAAATGTACACTGATTTCAGCATTCTGTTTGGGAATACAATCCATCCTTTCTTCAGCGCAATCGACCGATTTCTACCTAAATTTACTCTAATATCTTTTCTTATTACAAGATAACTATTTAGATTCTGCTTTATCTTTAGTTCATATTTCTTTAACCCTAAAAAGATTATTAATTTGACATGTCATTGATCTCTCTAATAAGTGAATACCAACCCACAAACCACTCATCCTTTTAAAAATATTTCGTGTGCATCAGTGCCATAACTAATAAATTTTTAAGAGTACCAACTGGTCTTTAATTATTTTATGCTTTTAACCATGAAACAGTTTTAGTTTTTATTACAGTGGCTTATTTATTATAGTGGCATTAGAGTGATTGTATTCAAATCGCAATTTTTCTTCATGTTTTCTGCTAAGAGGATTACAAACATTAAAGAGATTTCCTCCTTTCAAATGTAAAGCTATTTGAGTCGAACTTTTACCTTTAATATGCACTGTCATGGGCTTTCAACAAATGGTAGGATTAAATTTAGGTTGATGGCTTCATGGAGAGTATGAGAGCTGCGGTCCTTTTAGGGGTTTGTTTCTGTGTCTGCAATAGGTTGTGTAGTTTTAGCATTATCTTATTAGTGAGGATCTATCGTTAGAGATAATATTTATGGTGACATTTGTAATTTAATTAATTGCCACTGATGTTCTCATAATTTCATTTTCATTGTACTTCTGTGGAATCATAAACAAAAGGTTAAGTGGCACATCAGGTTAATTTACCAGTCTTTGATGTTTCCATCTGTGATCTTACATTCTACACAAAGCATAAATAAAATGGCTCTCATAAGGTTATGGTCCAGAAGCATTTCTCTCTCTTAGTTTAATTTTTAGTTTAATTTTTGTGCTTCTCAAAATCCACTTAATCCATAGAACGTTACGCTGACATGGATCTCTGAGTTTCTGTTTTATGAAAACAAATTAGGTCAGCTCAGAGAGGGAGCCTGCCATTCTAAGAAGTGATCAGACCCAGAATATAATCGAAAAGAAAGAGTGAAGTGTTATTTAAAATTAATGAAAAGATTTTATAAGATTTCTCATTTGTAACTGCCTGCAGACTGGACTTGACAAAATAGTTCTAGTCTAGAGATAAAATTCCTTAACGGTAGTAGTGTAGTAACCATTTTCCAAAATAGTCCACACTGAACTAAGAAAACAATGCTGTTTACCACTATAGATTTATTTTTCTGAATTACCTGTTGCATACCTTTTGCAGAAGCAGCAGCTTAAGATTACCAGTGAAAAGCATTATGCATTATAAGGTCAGCTGTTTTACCTTATTCTTTTTCCTGATCTTCATGGAATGTGTGTGCTAGCATAATACAAAGGAAGATTTTACACCCCAAACAATGAAATAATTTTAAAAACAAAATGCACATAGAACACCTACTTGGTATTGGTGTTATTTTCTTGGAATCAGTGTAATATACACAGGCTCAGCAGTCTAGACGTTAACATTTAAACTAATTTAAATGTATTAATCCCTGCTTTTTTCATGCCATTGCAATTTCCAGATATTTAAAGATATGAGCATTTTTATACATTTGCTGATAAAATTGGAATCATTTCATTTTAATTGATACCTCTAAAAATCATCTCTTCAGCCCGATTGTATTTTCCAGACCTGACCTTTGAGTCAGAAGAGAGCCAATTTGCAAATAAAGGGGTGTCTCATGGCTGCCTGCTGAGGGGCTGTTCATAAGCCTTTTTGTGAGGGTGATTCAATAGCTCCATTCTGGTACAGTGAGTCATGCCCGTTTTAGCCATTTGCCTATAACTGTTTTACTGCCCTGTGAATAATTTTTATTTATCTTAATATTATTTTCATGCATAACAACTGTAATAAACAACCCTGTCAGTGCCTCCTGGTGGCCATTTTTCCTCTTTTTGTTCTATGTGTCCTGAGGGTCCCTTAGCTATTTGTAGGATAGGGTAGGGAACAGGACGTTTTCTGTCTTTCTCTCTTACGCATTTAGGACATCTTTTTTTGTTGTTTGGTCTTTCACTTTTGAAAGAATTCTGACCCTGAATTAGGTCTTCCGAATCCTGCTTGAATGGTGCTTAACAGAAACCTGGGTGATAGCTAAGAATCTCTGAATGTCCGGGGTCGAGTTACCTAAAGCCCAATAGACCTCGTTTAAGTCAAAGTTGCAGCAGGAGAGGAGGTCTCTTGGTGGCGATGCCACGGTCGCGGGCCATCCCCTATGCCACTCAATAAGCAAAGTTAAAATCCAGAAACTCAGCCCCAACCGCAGGCTACAGGCTGCAAGGCCTCGCCCCAGTGGCTACTGATTCAGCCTGCACAGAAGGTCCCATTACACTTTTAGATAGTTGCAAATATTTTCCTCCTCTGACTAAGAGATCAAACAAGCTTCGGTTTTGCAATGACCTCGAATTTCTCCACAGTAAAGTGGCCCCAGCAGAATACTGCAGACCCATGCGTAGCCCTTGTAGCGGCGCCGACTGGCTCAGGGAATCAAATCCTCTTGGCCGGCTGGTCCAGAGGCTGATAGACTCGAGGCTGGGCTCGAACCGGTCGCCCCTGCAAGCCACCTGCCCGAGCGTCCTCTGACTCCATAGAGAGTTTGGGTTCTGAGTCTAGCTGCGCGCTGTGTTTCACTGCACGAACCCCTGAATCTCAACTATTCTTTTTGTTATCAGCACGCCTTGCCTCTCCCCTCCGCTATTTTTTGGCTGAAAACGAAACTGGAGTTTGCGCCTTGAAATTGGCTATATGTGAGTTTCACGGCCTGGGACGCCGCAAGGACTTGGCGACCGCGGGCCCCACGGTCGCTCCTCCGTTGTGGCTGCGCCCGGCTTGGACTCACTCCTTCGGGGCCCTTGTTTCTCCCTCGGGCCTTTGTCTACCACCCCCGAGTCGGTCACCCTGCCACGCCCATTCCGGACTCCCCCAGCCCTCTCCACTCCCCAGAAAGCCCGTAAGCGACTAGCGCACGAGCTGTCCCGGGGACCCAGCTCCCGGCTTCCCGCCCCTCGAGGGCTGCGCTCGCAAGCGCGCGCACCGATCGAGGGTCCCAGACTCCAGAACCGCCCTCTCCAGGCCGCTGGGCGCCCTCCTGCGCGCACGACCCCCGCCTCTCCAGCGTGGGACGGCGTCCCCCCTCGCCGTAGCTCCGGGAAGCCCGGCCGCCGCGCCCTTCCTCCTCGGGCTCCCACCCCCATTTCCGGGGTCTCCTCCCTCTCTCCCGCACCTTCCCGCGCTCCCTCCCCGCCCTCACCGCCGCCCGCTGGCGTTCACCTGGTTGTTTTTGCAGAGATCAGCCCACATGCTTGTGCCGTCCCCTCCGCGCATCAGGACGTGGTAGGTGAAGAAGTAGATGCCCGGGATGGAGCAGGTGAACTTGCCGGTGGTGGGGTCGTAGTGGTTTCCGAGGTTGGTGACCACGTCGTCGAACTTAAGCACCTCGTAGCCTTCGTGCTGCCGCTTGAGGCCGGCGTAGAAGGCGATCTTGGGCACCGTGCTGTAGGTGGCGGCGCTGATGGCCCCGGCCGCGTTCAGGCCGGGCGCCCCGGGCGGGCCCGGCAGGCCTTGGCGGCCCGGCTCGCCCTTCTCGCCCGGGGGCCCCATGGGGCCCGGCGGCCCGGGCTCTCCGGGGGGCCCGCGCGGACCCGCCTTCCCGGGTCGGCCGGCCTCGCCTTTGGGGCCCTGGATGAAGGTGGGCAGGGACTGCATGAGGCCGCGGTCGGGCGTGGCAGCGGTGCTGGGCGCCTTGGTGCCCCCGTAGGGGTCGCAGACCATGCGGCAGGTGCCCAGCATCTCGTAGTGCGCCGACGTGCCGGCCGAGCTCACCAGCACCGGGATGAGGATCACCAGCAGCAGCACCATCACCACCCCCAGCGCCCCGGCGGCAATCAGGCGCCTCCTGCTGCCCACCAGCCGGCTCAGCGCGGGGCGATCCTCTTGTCTGCTTTTGGACAGAATTTTGAAGGTTGGGCGGGGACCTCTTCAGAGCCGAAAACAACCCCCTGCGAACCCCAACTCCCCTGGGCGGGCGCGCGCCGGCCGCTGCTGCCGACTCCTGCTCCCCCCGCGGAGGCTGCGGCTGGGGAGGGAGCGCGGGCGCCCAGTGACTTGAGCCGAAGTCCCGAGCCTGGGGTGGGGGTCGGGGGAGGGGTGCGCGGGGCGCCCTCGCCTCCCGCGAGCTCCTTCGCACCTGTGGCTGCAGCGGGCTCCGGCGCGGCCACCCGGAGGGCAGAGCCAGCCGCCGCCTCCTGCGCTCGCCCGGGCCGCTCACACTTTTATGCCGCCGCCGCCTGCGATCGACTTTTCCGTTTTTGCAGACTGCGCCAGTTCGCACCAACTTTCCGTCTGAAGTTGCCTTTTTCTGCCTCCTCCTCCTCTTCTTTCGCTCGCTCAGTTCGCCCGTCCGCTGCCTTTTTTTTTTAATTGCCTCCTTTCTCTCTTCCTCCTTTGCCACCACCACAACTCGAATAGACGCGCACCCCAAAGCCCCGCGTGGGCCCGGGCGTCCCCCGGGTTCGCCCAGCGGCGGCGGCGGCGGGCACTGTCGGCTCGGCGAGGCTCGGGGCTGGGGTGGAGGAGCGAGCGAGCAGCGGCGAGCGCCTCACGGCCGGGAGCGGAGCGAGAGAGAGACTGAAGGCAGAATTCTGCCTGGGTACCACCTGCCAGGAGAAGAGGAGGCTGACAAACGCGCGCCGGAGCAATTTATAGGCACCCAAGGCACAGAGGAAGGGGAGCCGCTTTGGCATCTCATTGCAGCATCTGCTCTGCTCATCCCACTCAGAGAGAGTTTGGCATTACTCTGACAATGTGGGATTTTTTTTTTCGGCCTCTCTTTTTTTCTCTCTCTGCACATGGATGAACAGTGAGATTCTGAATACTCCCTTGCTGAACCAAGCGATGGCAGGTCCTGCTGGACCCACCTGGGGGAGAGAGACAGCTGTGCGACAGCTTTCAGGGCTCAAGGGTCACACCTAAGTCCCAGATTTCCCCACTGCCAGCAGCCCCAGTTGGAGGGTGGAGGTGAAGGTTGAAAGGAGGGTGGCTGAGTTGACAATGTTTCTTTGCTGGCTCCTCTACAATCAGTGCTTCAGGTGTTTCTCAAAATGCCACTTTTAACAGAAGGAGGGCCTTTTAGAATTTTCCAGAGGATAGATGTGATTTTCTTTTAACCTGATGGTTTTTTTCCTCCTCTGCCTTCTAAATGAATAAGATGTTACCCCAAGAACAGTGAGGTATGTTGAAAAGCCAAATAACATTTCTGAATGATTTAAAATGAACATGTCCACCGCATCTGGGGGTGGGGGGGTTGGTCCTTTTTACAAATGCTGCACCGTGGTGAGTGCATACATATGTACTCTACTTACAGGCTTACAGTTCTAGCAGTCTTTCAGGGGATACTGCCAATGGACCTGAAGTTGCATTTACTTAAAGTCGCTAAATGTACGAGAAATAATCACTTGTCAAAATGGCGTCAAAAGATCAAGCAAGGAGCATTTACACAAGTGCTGGGCAAGGTCTTTTCCTAGGATATGGAAAGAGTTCTTATAAGCTCCATAGCAGATTTCCCAAATGTACATTGAGGGAGGGAAGAAATAGGAGAAATACAAGAAACAAGAGCCTCCATTCTCAGTGGGTGAGCTGCAGAAAGAACAGGATGGTTTATCATATTACTGGAAAGCTCCCAGTAGATATCAGGCAAGTCATCCCACCAACAAATACATAAGACACACAAGAATAGCTTTAAATAAATAAGTAGAATTGATTCCTAAATCATACTTCTGCATTCAGGAGCAACAGATGTCAATCAAACATAGGTGACATTTGCTTGTCAATACAAAGATGATGGCTGGGAAGACGGTGACTTATTACATCAGGGCGAGAATGTGAAATGAGAAGCAGGAACAAATAAGACTCCAGCAAGCAAACAATAACATCCTGGGTGATGATCAAGCAGCCTGTGATCTATTCTGCAGGTGTCACGGCATGGACTTCTCCTTTCCTCCCTGTGCCTCAACCTCCCTGCCCCCCAGCCTACTCCAGTCCCCCCCACCAATTTAATTCTTTCTTTCCTTCTTCTCTGTTTCACAACAAAATAAGGTCAAATGAGCAGACAGAAGGAAACAAAGATTCATTGATTCTTTTAAGAGAAATGTCAGTAGCTCCTTCAAGCCTTGGCTGGGAGAATCAACCCTAAGAAGTGTGCTGTGTGGCCCAGTGGGGTGGGGGTCTCCACCTCCTGGCTACTGACAGATCCACACTGCTCCTGGAATTGGAAAACAGTCCTTTCCACTTCTCAAGCCTTTAACTTTTATTTTAGGGTAGTGGTTTTATAAATGTGCGCCTATTGCTTGGGCATAATTGTACACATATTTCCATAATAGTTTCGTTCACATGAGCTGCCTTATTTTCAAATTTTTAAGCAGCAAACACATAATAAGTTCTCTCCTGGCCACAATACTTATTTTCCTAACACACCTCTGGATTGCTTCTTAAAAGTCACCTTCCTTTTGGAGGACAAAATGGTGAGGTTTGCTGCCAGCACTGGGGGTGGGGGGGGGGGGCGGGTAGGGTATTAATAAAACTCTGGTGCACCAAATGATCAAATTTCATAAGGCCTCTCTATTGCTGCGAAGAGTTCTGCAGGTGACACAAAAGGAGTTTTTAAAAGGTAGAGATTCATGGAGAAGTTCTCATCAAAACCTCAAGCTATGTGGAGTTTTCCCATTGACTAATGCTTAAGATATATTAGAGTCAAATGCTCATAAAATGTTCATCAATGCTCATAAAATAGTACAGTTGAAATGGACCCTCTGTTCATGCAGATGATGAGACCGAAATGAGTTTCCAGGAGGATCAGCACCATTCAACGGGCTTGCTGCGTGCACTCCCCTCTGCACAATATGGGTACATCCCATCCCAGTCTGAGACTGGTCATACTAGTTCTAGTAACTGAGGCTTTCCTCCTTCTACTTTCTCTGATGCCAAAGCAAATTTGATTTTGCAAGTGAGTGCCCTCACATTTTAAAGCTCTGCTAAGATTTAGAAAGGCACTCAGCGGTCATCATTCATGACGAAAGCATTCCCTCCCAGGCCACGTGGCTGACCCCAGACTTTCTATTAACTGCACAAGCCTGGGCAACGCATGGATATTTGGCTTTGTAGTGAAGCAGATTTAAATTCTTGGTCTCCTTCCTCTCCTCTAGAAGTGTCTCGCTGTGCACTTTGGGGGAACATTTTGGTTCCCTCATGATTTTCAAGGACGACTTGGTAGTAAACGAACTTATGGCTGGTTTTTGCCACTTTCTACTGCTTGAATTTCCCAGAAGGCTCTCTGCAAAGTTACTCACGCTTCAGCTCTTGTTCCGACAGTTTGGATAAACCATCTGATATGGCATATTACTCATCATCTTTATATGTATATAATAATAGAAAACGTGTCAATTAAAAAAATATTTGATTTTCTTCAGTCCTCATTAGAGAACCAAGTTTTCTCTCATATTTGATAAGAATCTTGGAAGTGTGCCCTGGAATCTCATTTCTGCAGCATCTCCCTACCGTCTCTCAAGAAAACGCCAGGCTCCCTACTTCCAGTTCCACCCGTACCTGGGCCTTGCAGACCCTCTGGACAATGAAGTCCAATCCAGAAAGCCGTGATCGTAGTTGGATCACAATCCTGTGATTTTCATCTTTCCCACATCATTTCTGTTGCTTTCAGAAAGCTGAGCAGATCCTAAGCACACGACTCCCACACAGACGTGCACGGCCATCCATTAATCATTATTGAGTATCTACGGACAGCACAGCCCTACGCTGGGCTCTTACCAGGCAAACAAATATTTAGTCATGAAAATGATTTCCAAATCCAGCAGCACTTAAGCAGAAATAGCATTTCTTAGAACAGGAAAAAAATAAAACAAATTAACAAACCCAAGGACTGTCTAGAGAATCAGACATAAAAAATACAAAAAAAAAAAAACATTGGAACTAGATCTACTATTTATCTTTAATTTTGTGGTCTCCAAATTGCATTTCAGAACATATACTCCTTTGACTGAAGAATTGTACATTTCTAACTAGAAAGAGTCTGCCTGGAGTTATGTAGGGAAGCCGTATGTCCTGATGGCTTTGGAATCAGATGGGTCTTAATTTGAATCCTAGCTTCCTCATTTAGGAGCTGTGAAAGTTACTTAATCTCCCAGAGGCTCAATTTCCTTTCCTGTAAAGTGGAAATAACACTAATACCTAAATTATAGGGTTGTTGTGAAGATTAAGTGAGTTAATGCATATAATTACAATGGTACCCAATCTATAATAAGAGCCCAATAACTGCCAACTGTCAACTTAGCATATTGTAGGACTACTGAGTAGTGTATGCCTATGAATTGAATGGAAGAATGCAAGGCTTAGTAAAGGAAGCTGAAACCAAAGGGACTGACTTAAGACAAGTGGCATAAATGAACAGTAAGTATGATAGACTTGGATAAAACTGACCGGAACACGAAAGTTCTCTAGGAGAGTTGCCGAGGTGTACTCTCCTGTAATATCAAGCAAAACAAAACTCAAAACAAGGATCACATTACCCTTCTCCAAAGTAAGAAGACAAAGTTTTATATCAAGGTCATTTGAATTCATTGTACTTTGATCGCCCAAGTTTTCAGATGTAAGACCTAGTTGGATGTATTAATGCGTGCTTTTTGTCCTCTAGGAATTCCCCAAGTCAACAAGTTGCAAGTGTATTTAAAAATTATTGTGGTCGTTATTAAGGAACTGTTTCTGTGGATAACAATTCTCAAAGAAGCAAACATACCTTTGTTTTGTTGTTTGTTGTTTTTTTGGGTTTGTTTTGTTTTATTTATTTATTTATTTGAGACAGGGTCCCACTCCATCCCTCAGGATGGAGTGCAGTGGCACAATCTCGGCTCACTGCAACCTCTGCCTCCCAGGTTCAAGGGATTCTCATGCCTCAGTCTCCTGAATAGCTGGGATTACAGGCATGCACCCCCCGTACCAGCTAATTTTTGTGTATATATATAATTTTTTTTTAAGTAGAGACAGGGTTTTGCAATGTTGCCCAGCCTGGTCTCGAACTCCTGGCCTCAAATTATCCACCTGCCTCAGTCTCCCTAAGTGTTGGGATTAGAGGAGTGAGCCACTGTGCCCGGCCCTGCTTTGTACATGAACTAGAAGAGCAGTCCCTCTGAAAGACACCTAAGTCATAGTCACAACTGTAGGGAATTTTCAACACGAAACTTTCCATAGAAGGCAATTTGGAAAGCTAGCTTGGCAGGTGTATTGTCAAAAATTATTGAACCGCCAAATGGAGATGGTTACCAGCACGTTACATAAGACTCAGTGTACAATGTATGGCTTCATATTGGTCCATACTTCTATCAGTCAAGAGAAGGATGAAATCTCAAGTATGGATGTGACACTTTATACCTGCCATGGGTAGAATGTTCAATCCGTATGAACTTACTTGATGTAGAATTAAAGGAAAAGTTACCAAGAATGAGATCTGAGAGCTTAGCAAGTCCTCCTAAGCTATGGCCCTGATAACTCATCATACAAGGAAAATAAGTGAATTCAAAGAACTAAAAGCAGCTGCCATTAGATTACAGGGAACTTTCAAACAAAAGATACATCATAGGAAGTCAGGTGAGAAGCTGTCAACCGGGCAGGCAGTGATAAGAATCGTAGTTGTCTTATTGTACTGTTTTGTTTTGTTCAAAAAACCTAAAGCATCATGCATTTTGAAATCAGAGTTTGCAGAGAACCCCCAACAGAGCCAGGACGTGCCAAGAGCGACTGATATTTCTAGAATCTGAATCTGGCTCTTGAAGTAATAAGGCCGGAGGAGACATGAACATCAAGAGAAAGTGTATTCAGCTCCATTCCTATGTGAATGTAGCTTCAGAGCAAGTCACCTTCAACAAGGAGCAGCACATCCTGTAAACAAATACTGTGCCCCTTGGGTACTTATGTGCAAACAGACATATCAGCTTTTCCCTAATGCAGGCAGTCTCTTGGGGGTAGTTCTATAACATGTAAAAAATAGATACAATTTGAAACCAGAATTCTGAGAGTAAATTGTGAAGGTATTTTAGATTTGTAATAAGTTGCAGGAGGAGAAGAGAGAAGACAAAAGTAACCTATCGTAAGTGGCTGTATGTTCCCTATAAGTAATTGTATCCCTCAGTGTTTCCCATTGAAAGTAGCTGTAATAATTCATGCTTTAATTCATTAATCAGTAATTTAGTCTCTGGCTCTGGAAAGTGGAAAAAGTCCATAAAAGTTGGTCCTACTTAGATGGAGATTTGGAGTTTTCGTTTTTCCCGGATTAGTCAATGTACAAGTAGAAATCCTTACACCTGCCTATACCCACAAAGGTGTCTATGTTTTCACACAGGCCCGTCTAATTACATATCAGCAGTTAAGATGTTTCTCCCTATTCTAGCCGCTTCTAAGATGCTAATGATCCTGGGAGTTTTAGCCTTTTGTTGCCTGCTGCTGCAGTGTTTGAACCATTCCAGTAAGCCGGCAACTTTGCAGGGACAAGGACAGAGGTAAGGTTTGTTTGTTTGGTTGGTTGGTCGGTTTTTGTTTTGTTATCAATGGGCGCCTTTGTGAAAAAAAGTTAAAATGATCAGTTAAATTAGGGGATTAACTGAACACGTCTATTATCCAATAGGACATCCATTATCCATTATGTATTTACATTTGTGTGTATGCCTTCCATGATGCATATGTATATTATTTCTTTTACATTTACTGTTAAGAGTTTGTTTTTGTAGGTGGGCAGAGGGTCTCAATGGCTACGTAATGAGGGTCAGATATTGATGCCCATGATGGTTTCTTTTTGTCCAAAGCCCCAGCACATAGGAACATTGTTCTGTAATGACACAGACAACCGACTGGCCCCCTGCCCATGTTCCCCCGGAATGAGGGGGGCATTCAGGCTCAGTGGCAGTTTTTGTAAAAGTTCTTGAACAGAAAAGAGAAAAAAAAATCAGAGCGAATTAAAAGGGATTTTAGGAGAAGTGTCCTCAACAAAAATCACGCACTGGGCCAAGCACGGTGGCTCATGCTTGTAATCCCGGCACTTTGCGAGGCCAAGGTGGGAGGGTCACTTGAGTCCAGGAGTTCGAGATCAGCCTGGGCAACATAGGGAGACTTCATCTCTATGAAGAACAAAATAAACAATTAGCCAGGCCTGGTGCTGTGATGGTGTCACTGCACTCGAGCCTGGGCAACAAATTGAGACCCTCTCTGTCCCAAAAATAAAACACTTTTTAAAAAAATCATGCACTGAGTCTAAACTACACAATCAAGCGTTCCTTCAGAAATTCTGAAAGAGCCAGACGGCCCTAATCCAATGCTTTAATCTAATGTTTGACTGCACTGGTTAGAATGAATTCTCTGGGTATATCCATTCTATTGTCTTCTCATTAATGTGTAACATTTAATTCCATTTTATTTAAAGCATGGAAGAAGAGAAGTGGACTTCGCTGACCATTCCTCTTCCTCCAGCCTTTCCCATCTCCAAACTGTCTCACACAGGTGTCAGTGGTCATCTTCCTTTATCAACTGCTCACAGCCTGTGCCCACTCAGCTCAGAAACAATGATATCCTTCCTTGCTGTCCACGTTGTCAGAAAGTCTGACTCCGTGGTGCCAGGCCCTGCACCATGGGTGCAAAAATTCTCTAAATTCCCCAGGTTTCATTTTCATAACTGGCCTTCTCTTCTACTCCATTGTTCAGTTATCGGGTATTCACACCTTAAATGGCCTTGTCATTTCTCATTTTGCCTTCCCCTTGACTCTTTCAACCCACCTCCTCCCTCTCTCTCTCTCGCTCTCTTTTTTATTTTTATTTTTTAGACAGTGTCTCATTTTGTAGTCCAGGCTGGAATGCAGTGGCATAATCATGGCTCACTGCAGCCTCCAGCATCCAGGTTCAAGCAATCCTCCCATCTCAGCCTCCCAAGTAGCTGGAACCACAGGTACTTGCCACCTCACCAGGCAATTTTTTTTTTATTATTTAAGAGATGAGGTCTCACTATGTTACCCAAGCTGGTCTCAAGCTCCTGGCCTCAAGTGATCCTCCCGCCTCCACCTCCCAAAGTGCTACAATTACAGACGTCAGTTACCACGCCCCACTCTCATACCTCCTGATCTTAACCCTCTTTCGAGACCCTGTTGCAAAGTCACCTCCTTCCCCTATCTCTCCACCCTTAGCCCCAAACTGCCAACCACTGGATCTTTCTTCCCTGTGCTCCCAAGCACATTGAATGCCTCCTCCTGAAACACTTACCTCATTCTCCTTTTGCCATATAACCTCTTCCTTTTTCCTGTTATTGAGAGAAATACGAAGTCTCTTAATCTCTAGTCTCCAACCCCACCCTCACTCCCACACCCGGGCACTAAGGACACATTCACTAGGGCTAAAAACATGTTCGTTTATTTGAATGGCTGAATAGGGAATGAGCAGCCCAGCTTGCCGACTATTCTATACATTTAACAAATCTAGATGTAGTGAACAATCCTGGACTGAAAATTAGACATTTCTATGACCCACCTTCCCTAAAGGACTGGACACTCTTTCAACTCTGCCAGAATGGTTAGATGAAGAACCAGCTTAGTGTCAATTCTTTACAAAAGAAGTAAAGATAAGAACAGAGAGATAACCTGCACAAGAGTTGAAGTTTAGAATGTATTAGGGCCTTGGATGTCACACCTTGTGTGCAATGGGAAGGGATGCTTGCAGATCCGCTGATATTCGGAACTGGTTCTAATAGTTTCAATATATAATTAGATTTGTTTAACTATTGTATTTTCAAAATGCCTCACACCATGTGTGGTGGAAGCAGAAATTGCACTGTGGTCACTGGAAGAGAACATGACTTTCTCACAGATTTCTGCCCAAGATGGTGGCCATATGAACCACCTGAATTATGTACCTCAGTGGATATTCTATGAGGTTCTTCACCTCATCTCTTTAAGGTTTGTGGACAAGTATTTTGTCTATATCCTAGACATATAAAATAGGTTTTTTTTTAAATAAAAATAAGAGACCTATAGTTATGTGACGGAAAGAATGGCCATGGAAAAGAAAGAACTGTACCAGAAGTGCTATGTCATAGCAATATGTGCTATGCTATATAGGAAATAAAAATACTATCTGAGTTTCCCAATAGCCAAGGCAAAAAGGGAAACACTACAAGTTACCCTTATCTTATGATTTTTTAAAATAAACATTCCAGTTTTTCATGAGACAGGAGATTTTTTTCCTATCACAAAATTCTGGGAAGAACTTATCAAGTGAGGGATATAAAATAATATCATGGATACTAATTAAAGGTGGCTTTATAGAAAATAAAGAAATGCTTCTCAATGAGGAACTAAAGCAGTTCAAGTCTTACCCAGTTCACCATTTCCTAGAACACCTTGAAATTCATTCAAAGAAAGCTGACATGTTGAATAACAGGCAAATACTACCCCAAGAAAATGCACAATTAGCAAGAACAGAATGGATGGGATAGATTGAAGAGCAGAGACGGAAGTCTCCACCAGAAGGAGTGACAACTCGTTTTCAAATCAAAAGCAAAAGTGCAGTAAATGCTATCACTAGAGTGATGAAACTCAGCTAGAACGAATGCAAATACATTCCACATTTCTGTTTCTTTTCAGTAAGTAATTTGAAAAGATCAGTCAAATGTGTGTGACTAGCTACAGGAAAAAAAAAAAAATTAAACAATTTGGCAGATTTGTTCCCAAGTCATGCCTACAATATTTTGACCCATGAATTACTATAGATATAAAAATGTTACTACTTGTATTATAAAAACACAACCTTGAGCAAATAGGAAGTTAACAAAATCACACTGAAATCTTCAATTTTGAAAACAGAAAATGATTGTCAACACTATTTGATAATGATATTCATAACCGCTGGGAACTACTCTAATAAAAAACTAACAATTATATGTACCCTCTTTGAATTTGCAAGCACTGATCTACTTACTGCAAATATAAAAGCCATTTCCCCCTCACATTTAATTTGTAACTTAGAATATTTATTTCAACCCCAGTAACTCCTTAATTTGCCCTATAGTAAGTCATTGCATAATTACTCAAAATCTCCAAAATACAGACAAGTATATGCAAGGTAAAGGCATCACAGTATTCTTGAGACAGCCAATGACTTTTCTGAAGTTTTTTCTTTTTTCTTCTTTTTTCTTTTTTTTTTTTTTTTTTTTGAGACAGAGTCTGGCTGTGTTGCCCAGGCTGGAGTGCAGTGGCGCGATCTCGGCTCACTGCAAGCTCTGTCTCCCGGGTTCACGCCATTCTCCCGCCTCAGCCTGCCGAGTAGCTGGGACTACAGGCACCTGCCACCATGCCTGGCTAATTTTTTGTCTTTTTTAGTAGAGACAGGGTTTCACCATGTTAGCCAGGATGGTCTCGATCTCCTGACCTCATGATCCGCCCACCTCAGCCTCCCTGTGCTGGGATTACAGGCGTGAGCCACCGCGCCCGGCCATCTTCTGAAGATTTTTGAGCATTCAGTATAGTAAGAATTTTAATGATCTTCAGCTCCTCTTAGATCTAGACACAAATATGGAAATGTGTATTGTGCAATGCAAATGAACTGGAAATGGGTTCGGTGGAAGGTGCTGCCATCCCTGTGATGGTTGCATTAACACCCAGGACCAAAAACTGCTCAAAAGGTAACACTCTTCCGTCATTAAAAGAGAACAGGCAAACTGCTCTAACAAAATAATAAACTACGTGTCCAAACAGGGGAAGTAAATACTTTTACATAACACAAGAGAGAATGGAGCTAGGGAGAAAAAAAATGCAGGAATGTGCCAGGCATAGTGGCTTATACCTGTAATCCCAGCACTTTGGGAGATCGAGGCAAGAGGATAGTGTGAGTCCAGGAGTTCGAGACCAGCCTGTATAACACAGTGAGACTCTCTCTACAGAAATTTTTTTTTTTTTTAATTAACCAGGCATAGTGGCATGTGACTGTAGTCCCAACTACTTGGGAGGCTGACGTGGGAGGATTGCGTGAGTTTGGGAGGTTGAGGCTGCAATGAGCCATGATTGTGCCACTGTACTCCATCCTGGGTGACAGACCAGTCCCATCTCAAAAAAAAAGAAATGCAAGAATAAATATGGGTACTTTGCATTAGTAAAGGAGAATCTAAATGGGAGAGAAAAATAATTTGGCTGCTTTATTTGAGGGTTTTATAGACAAGCTTTCTCAGAATAACTCAAGTTTCAAACATGGCAGCATATTCAAGTTCATTGTTTGAATCCCATCATGGTCATGGAAAGATCGAAAAATTGGAAGCTCTTTGAAACAACAGTTACACTATTTTTCAGTGCAATTAAAAATAATGACTAGGGAGGCCAGGTGCGGTGGCTTACGACTGTAATCCCAGTACTTTGGGAGGCCGAAGTGGGTGGATCACCTGAGACCAAGAGTTCGAGACCAGCCTGGCCCACGTGGCAAAACCCCATCTCTACTAAAAATACAAAAAATTAGCCAGGCATGGTGGCAC